GTGGGCAGTGAGGAGGAACCAAGTGCAGAGAGGTGCTGGGAGCTGCGGCAGGAGCGGGATGGAGGACGGGAGGTTCCCTGCTCCCAGCTCTGTGGGTTGGCTTGGCCCCCGCTCAAATATTCAGGATCGGTCCCTTTACAAACAAATCCCTTACTGTCTGTTCCCCTGCAGCAGCACAGAGATTAATTGCCGTTTGTAGAGCCCTAATTACTCTTTGGCAAATTGCTCTGCACAGCTCCAGCTAACGAATGTGGGATGTGCAAGCCCAGGCTCGCCCGGGCCTCTGCCGCAGTGCGATTCGAGCAACTCCCCACACCCGTGGGGCTCTAACCTGCCTCTCCTTCTCTCTCCCGTTTCAGACTCTGTCTGTCTCGATGCTGTTGCGCTACTCACACCATCAGATCTTTGTCTTCATTGGTAAGGACTGGCTGAGGGGTTTGGGTTGCGCTGGGCACTGTGCCTGCTCCAGCACAGTGTGTCGTAGAGTCACAGCAGGTTTGGGTTGGAAGGACCTTGAGGATCGTCTTGTTCCAACCTTGATTTTTGTTGTTTAGAAGGGTCCTGCTTTTAGCTGCACAGGGAATCCATCCCCCTGCACCCTGTCACCGCGCTCGCCAGAGCTGTTCTGTCTCCTGACAAGTGCTGGGCACAGAGGATTTGGGATGATGGACTTGGCTGCACTGAGTGGGCAGTACCATGGGGTGGAGAGTTCCTTGGCCCCACATCCTCTCTGTGCCACAATGTGTTTTCCCTCTTGCAGTTGACCTGTTACAGATGCTGGAGATGAACATGACCATTGCGTTCCCTGCGGCTCCGCTCCTCACTGTCATCCTGGCTCTGGTTGGTAAGGACTTGCCTCACTGCTTGTATCTGCAGCACATCCCTCTGGGATCTGTGGGAAGTCTGATTCCCTGTTCCGAGCTGGCCGCGGCAGGTGGTTAGCGCGGCTGCTCATCACGAGGCAGAAGGCTCTGGAATTTGATGGCACAGTGAGCTCCATTGTCCTCCTGGGTCCCCTGGAAAAGCAGCAGTTCATTGGGAAATCCCAGAATCCGAAGCTTTGTCTGTCCCTGGAGCTCGTTGCAGACTTACGTTCTGTAGCCAGATTGCATTTGCACAGTTTGAATTGAAAAAGCAACAAACCCCCTGAAACGTGTGCTGGGGGAGGCAGCTGGTCCCTGCCGTCAGCGCTGCAACACGCTCGGCCTTGGCTGCTGCCGTAACCAGAGCCCAGTTACCTGCCCTGGGCAGGTGCAGTCACAGCCTCGCCCTGGGGTGGCAGAGGGCCCCTTCCCGTGCCCTGCCTGTGCTGATGTCCCCTCTGTCCGCAGGTATGGAGGCCATAATGTCCGAGTTCTTCAACGACACCACGACCGCGTTCTACATCATCCTCATCGTGTGGCTGGCGGACCAGTACGACGCAATCTGCTGCCACACCAACACCAGCAAGAGACACTGGCTCAGGTAAGGGCTCTCATTCCCTCTCCCTGTCCTTCTCCAGCTGCTCCAGGGCCTTCCCAGCCCCTCCAGGCATGACGGCCTCCACTCCTGAGGGTGTCTGTGTGGCTCCTTGGGAGCTGCCCCACATGGCACAGGGTCCAAAGTGCGATTGCTCCGCTTTGGATTTGTGCCTGGATCTCAGAATCACCTCGACCTTTTCCTGCCCCTTGCTTTGCCCCATTCATAGCCAGGCAACTCTGATTACCTGTTAACGAGTCTGCACTGCCCCAGACCAAGTGCCCCGGCTCAGGCTGGGCTTGGGAGTAGAACAGAGCTCATATTTTTCCTGGTTTTCCTTGCCTTCCTGTCTAGGTTTTTCTATCTGTACCACTTTGCCTTCTACGCCTACCACTACCGCTTCAACGGGCAGTACAGCAGCCTGGCACTGGTCACCTCCTGGCTCTTCATCCAGGTGAGTCCCTGCACAGCTGCTGCACCTGGGGGGGTTTGCCAGACTTCCTCTCAAGCTGGGTTGGAGTAGGGATCCCTTTTTCTGTAAGAGATGGAACTAAGCCTGGTTTGGAAATGGAACAGCAGAAGGCAGCTGTGGAACAGGGGAACCTTTGAGTCACTGTCTGCAGTCCAGTCACGGGCATGACAATAACCCAGTGCCACACAGGTTCTGGGAAGGCTTTCTGTCCTCTCCTTCTGCAATAAATCCTGATGAGGGCCTGTCTTGCAGAGGAGCAGCTCAGGTCCATGCAGTGAGGATGCTGGCAGGACCAGCTCTGAGGTGATGTCTCCAACATCCTGGATCAGTTAAATCTGTTGGGTGTCTCTGGCTGTTGACCTGCTGCAGGGTGGGGGCAGGGAATGGAGCACAACCCGGAGGAATGCCATTATCCTTCTTTTCCCAGCCCTTAAAAGGAAAGAGGGGTTGTACTCTTGCCTGTCTTCAGAGAGAAACTATAAAGAAGCTTGCAGCAGTCAAAAGTCCAAACTTTGTGCTAACCTGCTGGCTGTCAGAGCAGCTGGATTCTCCAGGAGAAGTGCGGTTTTCTTGGGATGTGGTAGCTTGTGGCCCAGGCCCAGGGGTGACTCCTTTCCCTCTCGTCCTCCAGCACTCGATGATTTACTTCTTCCACCACTACGAGCTGCCAGCCATCCTGCAGCAGATCCGGATCCAGGAGATGCTGCTGCAGAACCAGCAGGTCGGGCAGGGCACCCAGACCACGCTGCAGGACAACCTCAACAACAACACCACGGCCGCCCCCGTCGAGGCGGGGGGTCACCGAGCCCCCCTGGCCACCGGGCCCCCCGGGGAGGGCAGCGGCCCGGCCGCCCTGACCCCCGGCGAGGCCTCGAGCGTCATCGCCGCCGCCGCCTCCGTGGGCAGCGACCTGAACTGGGTGGCCGAGACGGCCGCTATCGTGACAGAGGCCTCGTTCCTGTCCGACCTGAGCACGACCCTCCTGGAGCCCACCGTGGTGCACGAAGCCGTGGCCAACGGGACCCCTCAGGAGGCGGCCGCGGCCTCTGGTTTGGTCGCCCGCATCAGGGTCAGCAGCGACCGCCCGGAGACGGCCGTGGGCTCCATCACCATCGAGGTCACCTCGACGTCCGTGGTGGCCGCAGCAGATGCTCCCCCTGCTGCGGGGGCTGCGCCCCTCGTCCCGCTGCAGGAAGGGGGGGCCCCTCTCCTCAGCCCCTCCCTTCCCAAGCAGACTGAGGCTCTCGAGGGCTCAGACAGCCGAGCAAAACCCAGTGGCAAGAACTGTGTGGGCAGCAGCAGCAGCAGTGTGGCAGAGCCCCCTCCAGCCTCAGGGGGGGACAATGACCAAGACAGAGGTTTGGAGGACCGGGGGGAGAGCAGCCCCTGCCCAGCACCAGCGGAGAGAATGCCCAGCTCAGAGCCAGGCTCCAGGAACCTGTCCTGAGCCCCGCTGGGTCGCTCTGGACTGCCGGGAAGGCATTTGGATTTCGTTTGTTACTGTTTCTCACTTCACCATCATCCTTAACCCATGGATCCCTCTGAGCGGAGCCGGAGCAGCAGGAGCAGAGCAGGGCTGTGGTGACCTCCCTTCCCAGGGAAGGGCACAAGGGGCTGCAGGGAGGTTGGGGGGTTTGGTCCCCTGGCCCACACAGCTCCAGGGCTCCTCCAAGGCCACATGTGAGCCTGCTCCTGCCCCATGTCAGCTTGTGCCCCAGCTTTTCCTTGCCCCCCAACCCGGGCTTCACCCCCGCAGCCGTGTTTGCAGTCCAGGTGTGGATCCCAGCTCTCAGGTGGGAGCTGACCTGGGACAGGCCACAGCACGTGGCAGCTCTGTGGTGAGAGTAGGAGCTGATAGAGCAGGCAGAGCGTGTCCAGCCCCCATGGGAGAGCCACAGAGAGGAGAGTCCTGGTCACCTTTCCTGCTCCTGAGGGGAGGAGCAGCTGAGACCTTCTGTGGGTGTGAGGTCTGCACGGCTGGGCAACAACCAAAGCAGAAGCTGCAATTCAGTTCCTTTTTTTCTGCCCTTGAATTTCCCTCAGTGGGGGGGGGGGATGTGGAAGGTGCCGTGTCCAGGGGGGAGCTGCCATCTCAGGAGCCATGGGTGATGCCTGGAGAGAGCCGTGCTGCAGTGTGGGTGTCTGTGGAGAGGTGTGGGGTGAGAGCAGCAGCTCTGTCCTGCACAGCTCTGTCCTGCACAGCTCTGCTCTGGGTGAGGCAGCTGCTTTCCAGTGCCTTGTCCCTCCTGTGGACCACATCTGCATTTAGGATCAGCCCCATCCCAGATGAGAGAGCAGCTTCTCACCCCTGGACTCTTGCATGAGCTGGTTTAGCAAAGAACCAAAACACTAAAGCCAAGACATTTCAGCTGATTTTCCCCTGTTTCCCTGCAGTGGAGGTGAGGCTGGTGGGTCCCAACCCCTGTGCCATGGAGCTGAGCTGGGGGGCTGCATCGAGACCTCTGTGGAGGGGTTGGACCCAGCAGGATGTGCTGGAAGGAGGGTTTGTGCACGGGGTGGAGCAGGGCGAGGCAGGATGAAGCTCTGGGAGAACCATGGTGGGACAGGGCAGGGGCAGGTGACACGTGGGCACTTGTCTCTTGGGGACAGCTGGGTCCCTGTACAGGTGTCCCCAAATTCAGGGCTGTCTCCTATGGCAAAGCAGCATCTTCTGTCTCCCTCGGAGGGCTCTGTGCGTTTCGATGTTTCCTTGTCAGCATGGGGGGCTCAGAGCCCCCTATTCACCCCTCTGCTTTTCCCACCTGGGTACCCCCACTTTGTTTTTCCCTTTTGCCTGGAGCAGCCCTGGTGCTGCACCGGAGCTGGGGGGACCCTGCTGTGACCAGCAGGTCCAGTCCTGCTGCTGCCAGCACTGCTGGGAAGGGGCCTCGTGGCCAACTGAGCCCAGCCTCTGGAGTGCCAGGAATGACTGTAGGCTTTTCAGAGGAGTGGGTGGGTGGGAGGGGAAGGGGGGACACCAAACCAAATGATTTGATGAATGAAAAGTAGAGTTCATTCTATTTAATTAATGTACAAAATGTGTTTGTATATAATAATAAATATTATCTCTAACAGCTCCTGCAGCTCTGCCCCACGTCCTGTCCCGTGTCCTGGGCTCCCGCCGGGGTCCTGGGGAGGGGGTGAATGCTGGATCCTGGGGGAGCCCCCCTGTCCCGGGGTGTCGCTGTCTGGGGGTGTCACGTCCGTGTCCCCTGGCAGGGCGGGGGGGCGGTGGCAGTGCTGGGGCCGAACAGCAGCCCCGTCCCCACCGCGGGGCTCTGAGTCCTTCCACGGCCACCCACAGGGATGGGGAGTTATTCCATGTCCTCGGGAGGGAGGGGAGCACCGAGGCACAGTCTGTCCCGCTCCCTGTGTGGCACCTCCATCCCTCTGCCCGAGGGAGACTCCGGCTCTGCTTTGCGGTGGCTCTGGGATCAGCCCGGCTTTGCTGCCCTGGAGCTTTCTCTCCAGAGGGAGGTTTCACTCCCGGCCTGTCCTGCTGCCCCCTCTCTGTGGGACCTTCCTGTTCCTCCTCCTAATCGCTGCCGTCCTGCGGTGGGGCTGAGCTGGGCCTGCGGAGGAGGGAGGGGAAGGGGAAGGGTTACTCCCGGGCCAGGCTTGGCTGCATTCAGTATGCAGCTGGAAGAGGAAAAGCAGACTTCACCGTCGGTCATCTTTATTTACATGGTGTAAAAGCAGAGTGGGGCTGTGGGGCTGAGCTTTGTCTGGGTGCTGCAGGGGCCTCGCCCCATCTCAAGTCCCCTAAAAAGAACTCCCTGCCCTTCAAACCCCCACTGCCGGCAGGAAGCAGGAAAGGAAGAGATGAAGGGCCCCAGAGGTTGGGCAGCCCCAGGACATCCTCCCTCCCTTTTTCCTTCCATCCCTCCCCTCCACTTCTGCTCCGAGCAGGAGGAGTGGGTGCCCTGCCCTGCCCCGCCCTACCCTGGGATGCTTTGTGGGGTCCCTGCCCCCGCCTCACCTCTCCTCCCGGGGCTCCTCGGGGGCCAGCAGGGCGGGCAGTGCCCGGCCACCCTTGGCTGTGCCCAGCACGGCCACCAGCTCGCTCTTCCTCAGCAGGGCCGCGCGCAGCTGCTCCCGCATCTCCTGGATCTTCTCCTCCAGCTCCCGGAGCTCGCTCTCGCTGGCTACCCTGTCCGGGGGCTGCGGCGCCTGCCCGTTCCCGGGGTGCCGTGGGGACCCCTCACCCTCGGGGGGGGCTTTGTCCAGCTGGAATCGCACCCGCCGGGCCTCCTTCCGCAGGGCACTCCAGGGCTGTGCTGCTGCCGGTGCCGGCCTGGGCTGGGGCTCACCCCTGTGTGGGGAGGCAGAGAGGGCTGAGCTGAGATCTGGTCCCTCTGCGGCCCCCCGGGATGGTGGGTGTCCATAGGGAGGAGAAGAGTGGGCAGGCTCTCAGCCCTGGCTGTACCTCTGCTCCAAATTCAGCTGCTGGCTCTTCCTCTCCTCCGTGCCCATGTTCAGAGCCCGATGGATTTTCTGTGGGGAGCAAGGGAAGAGTGAGATGTGGGGTGATGGTTTTGGGATTAACTGAGGGTGATGGTCCAGGGGTTATCTGGGAGTTGATGGTCTGGGGCTGGAGGAGGGCAGAGGTGGTGTAAGTTAAGAGGGAGCAGCGACATGGGGCCAGGGGTCTTTGGGGCGCCGGGTGAGCCCCTTCCCGCTGGCCCCACCTGGCTCGTGTGCAGCCAGTAGTTGAATTTCTTCTTGCGCCGGATGCGGGGCAGGACCAGGCGGTAGAAGATGTGCTCGCCCAGCGAGGTGAGCAGAGAGCCACTGAGCCCGATGCACAGCAGCACGAACAGCCCCGAGAAGTGGTAGATGCCCATCTGCAGGGTCTGCAGGGAGCAGGGGGTGTGGGCTGGGCTGGGGGGTGTCAGACCCCAGAGCCCCCCCCGCCAAGGGCTGGCCGCCAAACCTCGGTGACGGCGAAGACGCGCTTCCCGCAGGGCACCATCTTGTACCACTTGTCGTGCAGGAGGTCGATGAACCCCGAGGACTTGTAGCGGCTGATGAACTCGGAGACGTTGGAGGTCAGCGGCGAGTTCTGGGGGAGGCCGATGCCGTAGCCTGGCCCCAGTGAGGGGGGAGAGAGCGGCAGCGCTGGGACAGGGGGTACAGCCCCCAGTACCCTCCACGGAGGGGGCACCTCCCCACCCTGCCCGGTCACGGCAAGGCGTGACCACAGCCAGAGCACACGTGTGTACACACATGCATACACATGCACACACACAGGACCCCTCCCCACCACAGCCCCCCCAAACCTTCGATGGCAAAGGGTTTGCCCACGGTGAGCAGTTTGCAGTCGGAGTCGATGGAGACCTCGTAGTCCAGCAGGGATTTGTCCATGATGAAGGCATTGAGTTTTGGGGGCTCTGTCCTGCACCAGCATGGAGGGAAGCTCAGGGAGGGGCTGCTCCCCCTTTCTCAGCATCCCCCCAACCTGACACCCTCCCAGGGGTGGGAGTGCTCGTGTGTGTGTGTGGGGTGTGCACAGGCTGCAGGGAGGGCGCAAAAGCTGCCCTGGGAGGAGTAAAAGGTGGGAGGGAGCCCCCCATGCCCTTCCTGCTCCTCACTTGAGCATGGTGACGCCGTCGGGGGTGGTGGGGACGTTGTAGCGCCGCATGTACTCGTGCATCTCAGGGAAGCTCTTCTTGATGTACTCCTCGGCGCTGCTCTCCCACACCGTGCCGAAGCGGAAGCCCTGCGAGGGGTGATGCAGCTGGAAGGAGGCACCAGAGCATCAGCACCCCTGGCCCGGGGACGTGTCCCCAGCCCTGAGCCCCAGGAAGGGGGCTCTGGGCAGCCTGTGGAGGTACAGCAGCTTTTTGGGGGTATCTGACAAAGAGCACCCCCCCAGAGACAGCCTCAGGACAAACCCAGCCTAGTCCCCCTTGCCCTGGAGCTGAGGCCAGGATTAAACATCAGGGTAGGGGGGGCCACAAGGCTTTCTGGGGGTCACAATGACCCCCCCCCCCCAGTCTTGGAAGGGGCCACACTGCAGGACTGAGGCTAGAGAGAACTTTCACATTGATTCCAGCAGGGAAGGTGCAGAAGGAAGGACAGGATTTTCCTCCCTGCCTTCCCTGGACCTCAGCCCTGTCTCAGCCCATCTGAAGCAGCCGGACACTCACCCACCTTTGGGTCGTGGATGCCCGAGAGCTCCTCAAAGGTCTTGTCCCCCACCATGACGGCCGCCAGGTTGGCCGTGTAGCTGGAGAGCACCAGGAGGCAGAAGATGGCCCAGAGGTTCATGAGGAAGCGGCCGGTGCAGCACTTGGGTGTCTTGCTGGAGACAGTGCGCCCAAAGAGGATGGCGTAGCACAGGTTGAGGGCTGAGGAGTAGGAGAAGATCTTCATGCGGTTGCGGCCGTGGGGGGTCATGCCGTAGGGGCTCTTCCACTCGTAGAGGGTGAGGAAAAGTGCCGTCATGTGCAGTGCCACGAAGACGCCCACCCACATGGTCCAGTGCAGGGGCCACATGAAGGCTCCGATGGGCGACGCCGTGTCCTTGGTCCTCACCAGGATGCCCAGGCTGGTGGAGAAGAAGGGGCTGGTGAAGTCGATGACTTTGCTCCGCGCCGAGTTGATGCTGAAGGAGGTGACGGCCATGTGGGCTGTGCCACTGAGCAGGTCCCCCACCAGTCCCGTCCAGCGCCCGTTCTTCCAGGCCCCGTATTTCCCATCGCCCACGATGTAGAGCTCGAAGTCAAAGGCCATGTCCTCGGCCAGCTTCTCCAGCAGGTCGATGCAGTACCCGTAGCAGCACTTCTTGTACGCCCGCGGCACCGAGCCATTGCCGGCGCCGAGCTCCTCGAAGAGGGTGTCCAGCACGGCCGAGTCGTTGGTGCCGGGGTCCAGGCAGAGCTGCCCGGCCAGGCAGTTCCCTTCCTCATCCACCTCCCTGGTGAAGACGAAGGGGTGCTCCACCAGCGTCACCACGCGCAGCCGCGCGCGGGCCCCCCCGGCTGCTTCGCTGGGGCTCTTGTGCTGCCGCTGGCTCTGCCACATGCCCTCCTCCAGTTCCAGCTTGCCATGGCTCCAGGTGCCCACCGTCACCCAGGTGGGGTCCCCCCGAGAGTCCCGACGCAGGCTCCAGACATGGAACTGCTGCTCCGGCCGCACCAGCGCCGCCTTCTCCACACGCACCAGCCCCGTCTGACCACGGAAGGACGTGTCGGCCAGGAACCTGCCGAGGGGAGGGTGTCACAGCTCCAGTCTCCCAGGTCAGCTGGGGCCAAGGAACAGGGATGGGGACCGGGAGCAGGATGTGCCCAACTCGGACAGGGACAAGGTCAGGGAGGAACAGCAGGATCCGGCCCCGCTGTGCTGCCCCGCAGCTCGCTGCGCTGCCAGGGCCGAGTGTTATTAATATTTATAGAGCCACGGTGCTCGGGCAGCATTAGGGAGATCTGAAGTGACACGTCCCCCCCTGTGCAACACAAACTGTGTCCCGGGGTAGGCTGAGCCCCACGGCGGCCGCTGCACACGCTGGGGACAGCACCGGGCAGTGCCCTGCACTGAGCACAGTGGTCACCCAGCTCCGCCCTCGCCCCATCCCAGGGGTGGGGCACAGCCCCCAATGCACCCCAATACCAAAGAGCCGGGACAGGGGGAAGGAGGCACCCCCAGTAGCCCCCTCACCTGGCAAGGAACAGCCCCGGGGACTCGCCACGCGCCCGGTGCCTCTCGCTGCAGTTGCTCGTGGTCTGCAGCAGGGCGGGGTCGGGGTGGCCGCGGGCGGCGCGGGCGATGGCCCAGGACACCAATCCCACCGCGTCCTGAACAAAGAGCTCCAGTGGCGGCCGGTTGACCTCACCGAAGGCCAGCAGCCCCGGGGGCAGCCCCTCGGTCTGCAGCTCGTTGGCGCCGAGCGGGGAGCCCAGCATCCAGTGGAATTCCTGTGGTGGCAGCCCCGACTCCTCGGCTGCCTGGAAGACGAGCCGAGCACGGGGCAAGTCGCAGCCCAGCACCAGCACCGGGCTGGAGAGGGTCCTGACATGCTCCCTGTGCTGCTGCAGGTAGCGGGTGGCCCTGGGCTCATCCAGGTAGCCCAGGTCCAGGACGGTGCGCAGGAAGAGCTGGGAGCGTTGGGCCCAGAGGCTGAGGAAGCCGGCGACGTCCCAGGGGTGGCAGAGCACCAGGCTGGTCTCCTGCCAGTTACTGGCCTGCAGGATGCTCACCAGCACGTCCACCAGAGTCTCCAGTGAGCTCTGCCGGTCCATGTGGAAGTGGAAGGGGCTCTGCCGACACACAGGGGTCGTGGCCGTGCCCCTGCTCACGGGAAGCGCCCAGAGGCAGCACCAGGCACGGACCCTCCCACCCCGAGGTCACCCTGTGCTCCCTGCCCACCCCCTGCCCACTCCTGGTCTGGAATCCAGTGCCAGAACACGTCCCAGAGTCCTTCTGGAGCCAAACCGGGGTTGGGACTGGGGCTGAGGGATGAGAGGCTTCCAGAGGAACCAGAGAATTTGTCTTGGAGTGGGAGCTGGAATTGGGGCTGCGATAGAACCTGACAGAGGGACAGGAAGGAGCCGAGATGGGAGCTGGGATAGAGCCAGGATAGGGCTGGAATGGGGGCCAGGAGGGGGCTGGGATAGAGCAGCGATGGGAGCCAGATAGAGCCAGGATGGGGCCCGGGATGAAGCTGGAATAGAGCCAGGATGGAGGTGGGAATGGGGGTGGGATGGGGCCGGGGTGGGAGACAAGATGGAGGGAGAACAGAGTCGGGAGGGAGCCCGGAGGGAGTCGGGATCCAGAAGGGATAAGGGGCTGGGATAGATTCGGAATTGGAGCTGGGATCGGAGCCGGGATCAGGACCGAGATCGGAGGCAGGACTGAGCCGGGAGGAGGACCCGCGCGATAGAGCCGGTATGGAGCCGAGACGGGGACCAGGACGGGAGCACGGACGGAGCCGGGATGGGCACAAGGACGGAGCCGACGAGCAGGGACGGGAGCGGGGACCGGGAGCTGCGTCCCGGCGGCCGCGGCGCGCCCGGCCGGTGCCGGTGCCGGTGCCGGTACCGGTGCCGGTGCCGGTGCCGGTGAGGGGCGGGCGCTGCGGGGTCTCACCTGCGCTCGGAAGGGCAGCGGCCCGCGGGTGTCCAGGATGCTGACGAAGGGGACCTGGAGGGCGGCGGCGAGGAAGTCGAGCTGGAGCAGCTCCCGGCGGGAGCGGGGCAGCGCCAGGACGGCGGCCACGCCGCGTCCCGCCAGAGCCCCGCACAGCCACCGCGCCAGCGAGCCGGGGTCCCTCGCTGCCGGGCCGCCCCCCACCACCTCCAGGCTGAGGTTGTGGGGCAGCGCCGCCCCGCCGGGGTCCCCCCCGGGGCCGGTACCGGCGGCCCGGGCCAGCGCGGCGCGGAGCCGGGCGCGGGCGGGCGCGGGCGGCAGCAGCGCCCCGAGGCGCACGGCGGGACCGGGGCTCGGGCCGGGGCCGGGCCCCGGGGGGGTCGGGACGCGGCAGGGATGCGGGTGTCCCCCCGCCGCCCCCAGCGCCGCCGCCAGCAGCCAGAGCGCCCGCAGCCCCTCCATGAGCCCCGCACCGGCCCCGCACCGGCCCCGCCGCTTTGTGCTCCGCCGGGGGCGGCTCCGGGGCGTACCCCGGCTGCGGGCAGGGACCGGTCGGATCCCGCCGGGCCCCCGCTGGGCAGCGCCGAGCCCCCGGTGCGCGGTGGGTCACTCCGGACCCGGCCCACGCAGCGCCGGATCCGCCCGCAGCCGCCCCGTCCACGCCCACGCGCGACGCGGGTCCCCCTCGCCGCACCCCGCAGAAAAGGGGGCCCCCGCCCGCGCGGTGCTGCCGTCCGAGGGCTGTGACCGTGGGGTCCCCCGGCACAGGGACCCCCGCTGTTCTCTGGGAGGTTCAGGCCGCCTTTTGACCACCTGGACCTTCCTCCTCCTCTTCCTCCTCCCTCTCCGGCCCGGGAAAAGCCCCTCGGGGCGGTCCCTTAGCCGGGGTAGGAGCCGTAAATTGTCTCCCCCGTCCCGGTAACCCCCCCCCTCTTCCCCCCCATCCCTCTATCCCTCAACAATCTGAGACACAGCCTCAAAATCCGGGGGTCTCAAGGCCGGGGGGTTCCAGGGCCGAGGGATTCATCCTGCTGTGTGGGGAAGGGGTGAAGGGAAGCAGAGGCACAGCCTTCTCCCGCTGAGGGGGGAGACGTGGGGTCACCCTCCTCATCCTCACCAGGGAAACCGGGGCCCTGCCTGGCCCGGAGGTCCCCACCACCGGCAGCACAAACAGCAGCGACTGGGGCCGGAGCTGCACGAAATTAATAAGGAAAAGCGAAGGATGGAGCCAAAAACCATCTGGCAAAAAGTATCGATCCACAGACAAATGTAATGAGTCACAGCCTAATGAATTCCTCTGCGGAGCTGGACCCAAGGGGGAGGGCAGAGGGAATCCTGCCAGGGCACAGAGGGTCAGGGAGTGCTGATCTCCCCCGGAATGGGATCCTGACAAAGGAGCCCCTGGCACCTCTTTCCCACAGGGATAAGTGTGGCACAGCACCCACTGTCCAGGCAGGAGCTGGGGAGGGGGAACAACATGATCTTGGTATGAAATAGCCCCCCAAATGCTGGGTACAGCACAGATGGGAAGTCCCTGATGGGAGCACCCTGACAGGAACCCCACTGGGGGACTGGGAAAGTGTGGGATGACTGGAAGAGAGCGCTGAGGTCTGGGTTTGGTTGGGGGCTGTATTCCTGGGGATCTTGGGGGGCTTCCTGCAGCAGGGACATGCTCCCACCTCTGCCCCCACTGCAGCCCCCGGCTCAGGGCAACGTTCCCTGCTGCAGCTGATGAATGTTGATCCAAAGTGTCAGGATCCAAAGGAGGAAGATGAGGAGCAGGAGAGGAAGGAAAAGGAACGGACTTGGGTGATTAAGCTAAAAGCATTTTCTGGGGAGCTGGCAGGAGCCAGGGCCACACGGACGCTCTGGTTTTAAAGTGCACTTTAAATCATCTGCATTTGGGTCTGGTATATTGAACAGGGTGTGGGGGGACAGGGGGTGGCCACGGGACACCTCGACACCCCACAGGGGCAAGGAGGGACCTCTGGGGTGAAGGTGACTGGGCAGCTCGGGGATGAGGAATTGCTTCCCTGCTCCCAGCAGGCAGCCCCAGGGACATGGTGATGGGTGGTTCAGGTCTGTGGCCACCCAAGGGGTGTTAAAGAAAGAAACTCGGGCATCTTTCACTATAAAAACAAATCTTTTATGTAAAAAATAAACCTAAACAAAACCCACAACCCCCGCTGCCATGCTGTGACAATACAAAAGGCCGAGTCCCCAAACACCGTGAAAACAGAGTCGTTGGATCCAAATATATATAAATTGTCAACTGACGAGATTGGAAATAGCACCTTGCTGGCCCCCCTGCCCCTCCCCAGAGTGACCCTGTGCCCCAAAACCCCCCCCCGCACTCTGAGCCCAGGGACTCCCCCAGGCCCTGCCCACTGGACAGGGTGGGTGCCCCCTCCTCAGCCCTGGTACCCAGGGACCCCCCGCCTGCCTCAGCAGACCCCCCTGCCCCGGGCACCCCTGGAGCAGGAGCTGCTCAGCCCCCGCCGTCCCGAGCGCAGGGTCCCACTGAGCGGGGTCCGGCAGCGCCGGGCAGTGATCCCCAGGGCAGGGCGGGTGGCAGGGGGGCTCCAAAATCCAATCTCAAAACGGTATTGAGAGAAAAACACTTTTCTGTCTGCACTGCAGGGTCAAGTAACAAAAAGAAACAAAATAAGGGGCAGGGGAAGAGCCGGGGAACGAGCAGGAGCTGCATCCTGAGCTCTCCCGCAGCAGCTGCCCAAGTGCCCCCGAGTGCCCCCGGCCCCGAGTCGGGGTGGACACGGTCCCTGTGCTGCCCCGCCCGCAGCCCCCGTGCCGGGCTCAGCCCCGTGTCCCCGAGCGGGCGGCGTGTGCCGGGTCACGGGATGGGCCGGGTGTGCTCTGCCGGCTGGGCAGGTGCCCGAGGGCGGGCAGGGAGAGGTGGAGGGGTGCGAGGGCGGGGGGAGCCTCTTCACTTGGCTGGATTGGTGATGATGCGAGCGGAGAAGTTAAAGAGGTCCTTGTTGATTTTTCGGAGGTTGCTCACCTCCTCCTCCAGCTCGCTCACCTGGATCGTCAGGTGCTCCTGGTCTCCCACCAGGTTCTGCGCCAGGAAAACACAACAGACAAGCATCAGTGTCTCAGCTCTGGCAGGTGGAGGCTGCTGCTCCCTCCACAACAGGAAACCCCAAACCCTTCAGTCTTCTCCCTCCTCCTCCTCAAGCCGCAGCACCTCCTGCTCATGTCACCGGCAGATTCCAGGGCTCTTCCCCCCAGTTCCCAACTTGCCCCAGACCCCACGAGTTGGATCAGCTGACAAGGACCCCCCAAGGGGTCTGTGCCCAATTCCCAGCCTGGGAGCAGCTCTCACCTTTTCCCTCGTCAAGTACATCTGCGAGTACATCCTCTCTGCCTTCTCCAGGTAGCTCTGCCCGGGCTCCTGCAGGGACCAGACCAGAGGGGTTGGCAGAGCAGACATGGACCTTCTCCCAGTGGCCCTGGGCAGGGTTCCTTGTGGGAGGGACCCAGGGTGATCCTGCTGTCACCTCTGCCAGGTGAACAGCCCCCCTGGCCTGCTGCCACCTCCCCAACAGGGAGCTCATCCATCAGCTGTGACAGGACTGTCACTGTCACTCGCCCAGGGACAGACGCTGGCAGAGGGGAGCAGCTCTGGGACCACCGTCAGAGAGGTCACAATGGACAGGACACTGATGGTGTGGGACCCCCAGGTGGTGGCCAGGGGACGGCCATGCCAGGACCGAGGAAGTGGTGGGACAGCAGAGCCAGCCCACTCTGCAGCTGGGAGGACAAATGACTGCAGCAGCCAGGACGGGGAGGGAGCAGGAGGGAGCAGGAACGGGTTTCACCAGCTGGAGGAGAAGCTTTGCTCCAGCACAACCCCTCCCCGACGTTCGTCCCCCCTCCCCAGCCCCCTCGCCCCCGTACCTGCTGGTGCAGCCCCAGGCGCAGCGTCACCCCCTCAGCACCCGGCTCGTCGCTGCTCTCGGTGCCGTGCAGGTGTTTGCTGAACTTGGGCAGGGGCACGCTGGGCTTCCCGTCGGGGTTGAACATGTTGGCAGGGGCCAGCACGATGAAGGCGTTTGTCACCGGACCTGGCACGGGACAGTGGGGACAGGTCAGGCCGGACCCCAGCGGGTTTGCCTCTGGCTGGGGCCTCGGGCAGCCCCGAGAACAGCGAGTATGACCCTGGTGCAGGCAGCGGCCACGACTCTCTCTCCCTCCCCAGCAGCCTTCCTGCCCGGGGCTGCGGCTCCACACCCCAGGCCCGGCACCCTGGGGGGGGCTGGG